GGGCTCCGGAAGCGCCGGGGCACGGCCTCCCAGTCCCGCAGCAGCGACTCGGAGGACGGCGAGTTTGAGATCCAGGCGGAAGATGACGCCCGGGCCCAGAAGGTAGGAGCGTGGGGCTCGGACACACGTCGGAGCCCGAGTCCCGGCTTCGCGCAGCGCCCCACAGCCTCAGTTTCCCCAGCTGGGGACTGGGCACGGTTGAGTGTGGGGAGAGGTCGGCTGCCGGGTGGTCGGGGCAGGACGTCCGGCCTGAGCACGTGTCTCGGGGCCCGGCACTCTGGGGATCCAGAGGACCGAAGCTCCCTCCTGTGTTCCAGGGGCTGGGGCCTGCGGGCGGGCCTTCCTGGCCGGCTCTTGGTCTCTCGCTTCTCATTGGCTACTTCTTGGCCAAGGAGGCAGGTCCCACTTCCCATTCGTCCAATGAAAAGTGCGGATGCTGAAGCTCTGACTTTGAGAGTTTCGGTGATTCTTGGGAGGTTGAATTGGGGAGAAGGCTGCACCTTGTGCTTTTGGACAGTGATACCCCCACACCTCTGGGAAACTAACAATAAAACTTGCTTTTATGAGTCGCTTACTATGTGCCAGTCTGCTTGCTAAGATCTTTACAAGCCTTGTCATTTAATCCCCCCAACAGCCCTGTGAGCTAAGTGCTGTCATCCTCATTTTCCAGAGGAGGAAACAGAGACCTAGAAGGGTAAAGGAACTTGACCAAGAACTCACCGCTTGTGAGCGGGAGAGCCAGGATTCAAATCCCGGACTGTATGGTTCCGGGCCCTGTGCTGATTTCACCACTGAGTGCCAACTGTATACAGATGAGAGGAGGGCAAGTGTGAGCGCCAAGGGGACCAAAGAGCTGTAGCCCTTTATTTCTCACAGCCTTATGCTTAGCCGGTGCCTGGCACAGAGTAGGTTCTGGGTAAGTAGATGAATGAGTGGGCAGTTATATGAACCGGCATCTATACTCTGAGACCAGATGGGGACCTTATTCCACCCCAGCTGAGCCTCTGTCCGGCACACAGTAGGTGTTCTATAAAGGTGCAGCCCCATGTTGAAAGGTGACCCAACCTTGTACTGGTTGTGGGACATGGGAGAAGTTGCTGAACCTCTCTGTGCCTCAGTTTCCACATGCATAGAAAGCAGATGATTATGTGTGCCTCAAAAACTGTGAAAAGGATCTAATGACAATGTTCATACTTTCTACTTGTCATAAAATATTGCTGGGGCACCAGTGTGTTCCAGCCACTTTGTCAATCATGTGTCTAGAGCAAGGGTTGGCAAACTTTCCTGTAAAGAACCAAGTGGTAAATATTTTAGGCTTTGTGGGACCATATAAGGTCACTGTCTTCTTTGTTTGATTTTTTTTACAATCTTTTAAAATTTAGAAACCATTCTTAGCTCAACGACTGTACAAAAAAGGTGCAGCTCTGACCTAGAGGGTTGTAGTGGACCATAGAGGGTCACAGAGGAAAGGACAGACTCTGAAACCAGGGTTCAAATCCCTCGCTGGCTGTGTGACTTTGGCAAGTCACTTCGCCCCTCTGTGCTTCAGCTTCCTTCTCTGTAAAGTAGAGTAAATAATAGTACCTACTTCACAGGGCTGTTCTGAGGATTAAGTGGGTTAACTTATATGAACGCTCAGCCCAGCACCTGGCTTATAGTAAGTATCATGTGAGTTTTAGCCATTATTATGAATGAGTGCTTTATATATGTTATTTCTGAGAGGAAGGGGACAGCCCTGTGGTCCAAGAAGGCTCCCAGGAGGAGGTGTCTTGGCTTGATTGAGCTGTGCTAGGACACCTGGATGGGCAGAGAGGAGGCCAGGCACCAGAGAGACCAGAACTGGTGAGGGATGATGGGTCAGAAAGGGGATAGGGGTGGGGCAGGGCAGATTGGAAAAGTCTAGTACCTGCCACATAGTAGATATTTTGATTTGCTCCCTAAAGTTTTGAGGGCTTTGAATGACAGGCCAGGATGATGATGATGATAATGACACCAGCATCTGGACACTGCGCTAAGCTTTATACTTAGTCCCTTTTCAGTCTTCACAACACCCCGTGAGGCATTCGCTCTTGTCATCCCCATTTTCCAGATGTGGAAACACAGGCTCTGGGAGATGAAGTCCCTGGCCTGAGGTCTCACAGCTGGTGAGTGACAGAGTTGGGATTGAAATGCAGACAGTCTCTCTGCAGAGCCCCACTCGCTGACCCTCTGCCCTGTCCTGGTCCCATCAAAGGAGAGACCTTTAGCAGAGAAGTCATGTGATCTGGCAATGGCGTCATCGCCTTGGATGGGGCATGGGGAGACTGGCGGCAGGACAGTCCCCCTCCCTGTCCCCTGTGGTCTGACTGTGCCTAGGGTGATGCTGGCTCCCTGTTCCTCCCAGCTGGGACCCAGCAGACCCCTCCCCACACTTCCCCACCTCGGAATGCACCTCGGACGTGGAGCCGGACACACGGGAGCTGGTGCGAGCCCAGAACAAGAAGAAGAAGAAGTCGGGAGGCTTCCAGTCCATGGGTGGGTAAGCCAGGCACCCAGGGAGTTCGGGGGAGGAGCAGCAGGGGGTCACACACCCTCTGAGCTCTGCTCTGGGTCCAGCACTGTGGGAGGTGTTGGGTGGATGGAGGAAGCATTTTCTTCATAGGAGCCACCAGCCTTACACAACAAGGGAACAGTTAGCGCCAAGACTTGGGGCGATATTGGTGCAGGAACAGGCAGAGATGTCCTGCGATTGAGTGGCACGACAGAGTGGCATTTCAGAGCTGAAGGGAGGAGCTGAGATAGTTGGGTGGGATCAGGACATCTGGGCAGCAGAAGGAAAGCTGAACTCTTTCTTGGCTCTTTACAAATCAGTAGCATCTGGAGCAAGGCTTTAAAGATCAAGATGAATATTTTTATAATCTGAGAAAGGAAAAGAGGGCTTTCTAAGTGTGACCTGAGCACCGTTTCATTTGACTGTTTTTCTAATCGGACACGTGTATGCCAAAGACCACTGGAGACTAAACTAAATGCTATACTAGGAATACATTTGCCACTATGGGACAGACAAAGGATTAATATCCGTAACATACAAAGAGCTTTTACAAATCAGTAAGAAAAAGACAGACACCCTGGTGGAGAATTGGGCAAGGAAAATAGTCAACTGACAAAAGAAATCTAGGCAGTCAATTAATATATTCTAGACATACTGGAATTCATCAAAAATCAAAGGAAAAACAAAAACATATACCTGTGGATGGTTCTTGCCTTTCTGAATCCCTAAGATGAACGGCTGACCACGGAGCAGTGGAAACCATGGTGCCTTTCTGTCTCCAGCCTCCCACCATCCTCCCATCTCCACAAACCCAGGTCACATCGAGGTTCCTCCTGCCCTGCGTGCCCATAGTACTGCGTGCCTCAGTTGTCAGCACCATGCCCGCAACCATCACCATCCCTTGTCACATAACACACTCTTTCTTATAATTATAAAAAGCTTCAAATGTAGAAAAAAATAGAAAATGGTGAGTCTCCACAATACCCATCACCAGCTTCAGCAGTTTTAACCTGGTCAGCAGTTGATCTTGTTCTCTCCGCATCATCCCTGAGGGTTCTGAGGCAAATGTCAGGCATCCCCTCCTGTTAGCCCTGAGTACTTCCCACATGGCTCCAGGAGATGCAGGACCTGGCCACGCCGAAAACAAACACAGTTCCTCCGTATCATCCAAGACCGCGTCAGCGTTCAGACCCCCCCATCGTGTCACGGCATCAAGAGTGTGGAATCCCAGTGACGTTCATACCCCACGATCAGTAGATTTGTCTTTTAAGTCTCCATGAATCTGTCAGCTTTGCTCTGTCACTTTTCTTTTTTTTCTTGCTGTTCATTTGTTGACAACAGAGTCACTTGTCCTGTGTAGTTTTCTGTCACGTGTCATGGGGCCCCTCCAGCCCCCTGGCCATTCCCGTGTCGTTCCCAGGCTTGAGCTACCCGGTGTTCAAAGGCATCATGAAGAAAGGCTACAAGGTGCCGACGCCCATCCAGAGGAAGGTACGGGCCAAGAGGCGATGCTCATTAGGAGGGTGACCAGCCTGGCCCTCCTGTCTGGCCTTTTGACATCCACCCCTCATCCCCACCGTTGTATCCATCATCCCCTCTTACTCTGGCTGAAGCCCCATGAGCCTGCCCATTTCACAGGTGGAAAAAGTCAGGCCCAGCAGAGCAGGAGCTCCACCCTGGATCTCTCTGCCACTCACACTGCCCACTGCCGAGTTGCAGCCTGGGCAACTCGCAGACGCCCCATTATCACCTGGGCCTCATGGTGGTTGTGCTGAAACATTTAGTTTAGAGGGAGACAACATTTCTGTGGGGCCCTGAGAAGGACTAGACAGGGACATAGAGTCAGGCTTAACCTGAGGAAGGATGTAGGAACAGTGGGGAGAGTTGGGAGTCACAGGCTGCTCATCCCTGGAGGTGTGCAGACAGGCTTTGGCAAGAATAGGATCAGGGCTGGGAGGCAGGCCGGCCCCCCTTCACTGAGCTGCCCTGGTTCTCCCAGGCCCTGGGGACCTGCCGCTCTGGGTCACATGGTGCTTGGGCGCAGGAGGTGACCTCGCCCCTCCCCTCAACCCATTCCTCCACAGACCATCCCGGTGATCCTGGATGGCAAGGACGTGGTGGCGATGGCCCGGACGGGCAGCGGCAAGACGGCCTGTTTCCTCATCCCCATGTTCGAGCGGCTCAAGACCCACAGCGCCCAGACCGGGGCCCGCGCCCTCGTCCTCTCCCCCACCCGAGAGCTGGCCCTGCAGACCATGAAGTTCACCAAGGAGGTGTGTCTGGCGGGGGACTGAGCCAGGGCCACGCAGGGAGGCCTGAGTCAGCTTCCATCACCATCTCAGTCTCTCTCTCTCTGTTTGCACAGCTTGGCAAGTTCACTGGCCTCAAGACTGCCCTGATCCTCGGCGGGGACAAGTAAGTGCCCGTCGCCTGAGCTGCTGCCCGCCCCCTCACGCAAGCCCACCCCGTGTCTCTCCAGGGGGCATTAGATCGACTAAGCCCGTGCTTATTAATAGCAACAAGTCTCCACACGTTCTTAAAAATGCTTTAGTTTGCTTGACTTGGGGCTGCTTAAAGTGCAATGTGCAAAAATCACAGAACGTTTGTAGTAGCTCAAATTTGCAAAATACTGTATTTTTCCTGATGTGCTTATACCATCCTTCTGAGGTAGCAGGCACCCCACCTCTTTTATAGATGAGCAGACTGAGGAAGTGACGGGCCCAGAGAGCCACACGGTGCTTTGATATTAGAGCTAAGATTAGAACCCCTGTACGCCCATCCCACAGTTTCTCCCTCAAAGGGCAGCCCCTTCCTCAATCTTCTCTCAGAATGTCACTGTCACCAGTCACTCTTGATTCTGAGAGAGTGTTTTGCTTTTCAGGGTTCTTTTGTCTACATTATAATGTATTATCTCTATAGCTGTGATGGTCAGAAATGCCTCCCTGAGCTAGACCTGGCCCAGAATCCTGGCTCCTACAGGTGACCCAGGGGCGATTCAGAGAACTAAAGTTAGGGATCTGTGCTCAAACAGTTTGAGAACAAGGACACAGACATCAAAGAAACCTGGTTCTAGGTGGAGCAGGCAGTTCCAGGGTTAGTTGTTAGGTGGCCCGTGGGTCAAAGGTGGTTTTGTTGCAATCCGGACAGAGCCAGTGAGATGAGTCCATCTCTTTGGGGAACTCTGTTGTATCAATTCTTTTGTATGTTTAAACTTGTATCTCTTGTCAAGGCAGTGATTTTGCCTAGTATCTCAGCAATAGCCTTTCCCGGCTATTGCCAGTTCCAAGCCCGGGATCAAGGTGTGAGACTCACCTGGGCGTTTGGTGATGGGAAGGGAGAGAGACAAAAGAGACCTGTTCTATCAAGCTGACACCTCCTCTTCTCCCTAGAATGGAAGACCAGTTTGCAGCCCTGCATGAGAATCCCGACATGTGAGTTTGCAGGTTGGGGGTAATGTTCTGGGGCCCCTTCCCACATGGCCAGTGAGTGGCTGGGGCATGAGCAGAGGGCTGTGCTGGTGGCCCTGGCCCTGGGTGACCCTGGCATGCACATCCACTTCCAGAATCATTGCTACCCCTGGGCGCTTGGTGCACGTGGCCGTGGAGATGAACCTGAAGCTCCAGGGTGTGGAGTACGTGGTATTTGATGAGGCCGACAGGTAAGGCTGCAGGTGCCACCCAGGCACTTGTGTCAGGGTTGGCCAGGAGGAAGGGCTCTGCCAGGAGAGACCTAGGTGGCCAAGACTGAAGCAGCAGTTCCCCAAGTGTGGGCAACAGATCGACTGTAGGCAACGCCAGAGCTGATGGGGCTCCCTGGACCAGCAGTTTTTATCTTGTATTACTTTTAGGAATATTGAAAAAAATAGTAAAACAACAAACCCACGATTTCAAAGAGATAAAAAGTAGCACAAGGTTGAGAGCACGGTGTGGAGCCAGACCCAGGTGGGATCAAATCCCAGTAAACTGTGAACTGGGACAAATCCCTGAGGGTCAGTGGGCCTTGGCAGCCTCAACTACAAAGTGGGGACAAAATAGCAGGGACCTCACAGGGGTGCTCGAGGACTAGGGGAGCTGGTATTTATAAAGTGCTTAGAACCATGCCTGGCCCAGAGGGACGGCTGCTGCTGTTGAATTTGTAGGAAAACTGAGAGCCGACCCAGGAGGCTGTCAAGTAGAGAAAAAGTGGGCTGAATTAAGGAACCATGTGAAGCAAACACCAGTCCTCGTGGCAGAAAGTCTGATGGGGGCAAGGATGACAGGTTTGGAATTCATCAGAATGGAAGCCCTTGTCCTGACCGGGTCCCGCCCTCCGCCCTCCCAGGCTCTTTGAAATGGGGTTCGCAGAGCAGCTGCAGGAGATCATCGGCCGCCTCCCCGGGGGCCACCAGACCGTCCTGTTCTCCGCCACGCTGCCCAAGTTGTTGGTGGAGTTCGCCCGGGCCGGTGAGGGAGCCGGGGGAGCGGGGCTGGTGGCTGGGACTCGTGGGGGCGAGGGTGGGGCAGGGCGCGTCTTGTCCTTCAGCGACACCCGACCCATCCTCCTCTGTTGCCCACCGCAGGCCTCACGGAGCCCGTGCTCATCCGGTTAGACGTGGACGCCAAACTCAACGAGCAGCTCAAGGTGAGGCTCCGCGCCTGCCCCTTCCCCAGCCCACGGCCTGGACCCCCTGAGCCAACCCGAGCGGCCCCTCTCCCCGCAGACGTCCTTCTTCCTCGTGCGCGAGGACGCCAAGGCCGCTGTCCTGCTCCACCTTCTGCGCACCGTGGTGCGGCCCCAGGACCAGACCGTGGTGTTTGTGGCCACCAAGCACCACGCGGAGTATCTCAGTGAGGTGAGCGTGGGATGGGATGGGCACGGACGGCTCCTCCCACCCCACCCCACCCTCCTCCCGCGCCCCCTCATCACCTGCTCAGAGCTGCAGTTCTGCGTACGGCCGCCAGGGGACAGCACCGGAATGGCACTTGGGCCTGGCCAGGGCTCCGTGCTTTATTACTCCTTTACACTTTTTATTATAAAAACTTTCAAACATCTACCAAAGCCAGAAAATACCATAATGAAATTCCAGATACTCAGTTATCAACCCACGCCACCTTTGATTTATCTGATATTCATTTGCTCCCTCCAGGGTATTTTGAAATTATCCCAGCCATTCTCAATCCCAGCCATCCTATCATTTTTCTGTAGATTTTCAGTGTCGCATGTGCTTCAGCTTTCTAAAACTGAGCAATAGCCTGCGCACTGTAAGCTGTGTGAGGTCCCCTGATCTTAAGTGAGCAGCTTGATGAGCTTTTCCACGTGTACACCTGGACTCTGGTGGAGGGGGGGTCCCCTAACCCCCAGGGCTGCCCAGGACCCCCCCTGAGTTGGTGCAGCCACGTCAGGACAGCCACACCTGGGTTCTGTTATTTGAGGACACAGTTCGCTGAGTTTCCCATATTTAATGCATGTTTGACATAATGGTGCTTCCTCCATGTAGTCACTGATGAATAAAACCAAAATAGCTATTTTTAAGGAGCAGTTAACACTTTCATGGTGCTTCCTGTATTCCGGGCCCCGTTCTCACCACTTTATGTGTATTAGCTCATTTAATCCTCATAGCAGAGCTACAGAGAAGGAACTGTTAATTCTCCCCTTTCTGCAGACGAGGAACATGAAGGCACAGAGAGGTTAGGGAGCTGGGGCAAGGTCACAGAGCTGGTTAGTGACAGTCAGGATGAGGCTTGTGTCCTGGGGCGGGGGGGCATGTGCAGCTTCCCTAAGGGAGTTACCTGTATGTGCCATCTTTTTTGACATCCAGACAATCCCACAGAGAGGTGATATGAGCCCCATTTATACTGATGAAGATTCCGAACCAGGGTCACCCAGCTGAGCTGAGGTTCAAACTAAGGGTGCCCACCTCCAGAACCAATGTCATGGCACCCTTCCTCTCCTCACTGCCCAGCACACACCCCTTTCCCTCCCTCCTGTCTTCACTCTGAGCAGCTGCTGACGACCCAGCGAGTGAGCTGCGCCCACATCTACAGCGCCCTGGACCAGACAGCCCGCAAGATCAACCTGGCCAAGTTCACTCACGGCAAGTGCTCCGCCCTCATCGTGACGGACCTGGCAGCTCGGGGCTTGGACATCCCGCTGCTGGACAACGTCATCAACTACAGCTTCCCTGCCAAGGGCAAGCTCTTCCTGCACCGTGTGGGTAAGGAGCCTGGGGCTGGACGGGGCTTCAGCAGGGGCGGCTGGGATTAGAACTCCCCCTCTTCACCATGGTCCCTCTTTGCCATTCTGGTACACAGCTGCCATTTTGGGGTGTCCTTTGCCACTGTGACATTCTTTTCTTATACTATGATGAGATACACATAATATGCAAGTATCATTTTAACCACTTTTAGGTATAAGTTCAGTGGCATTAGGTACATTCACATGGTTGTACAATCATCCATCTTCAAAGCATTTTTATCTTAACAAACTGAAACTGGTTAAAACCGTGTACCCAGTAAACGAATTCCTTATTCCCCCTCCCCCAGGCCCGGGTAAGTACCATTCCTTCTTTGCCTTCTTTTAACTCATAAATGTGTGGATTGTATTTACAAATATGGGTACATTAGATACGTGTGTGTGAGAGAGGCATCTGGCAGGCAGGTTCCTTTGAATTGTCCTGTATGTGATTGAACGTTGTTGACTGTGTAAATTCTGGCTGCCCGTGGCGGGCTGCCCATGGCTGCACCTTCGGGGTGCAAGGAGGGCCTCCACCTGGGTCTCCAGCCTCGGGTCTAGGGGGGCTCATCTCCCTGTTGGCCACTGCCTACTGTGCCCTGGATTCCATCATTCTCGAAGGGCTGGCTCTGCATGTCCCTGGAGGCATCCTTAAAACCCCCAAAGGGACTTTCTCATGTGCTGTGTGACCAACAGTGGGAACCAGACCACCTCAAACGAGTCTTCCAAACATGGTGACACTTTGTTTTCGCAAGATGCAGAAACCAACCAAAGTGGAGTTGCTATACTTGGATTTACCGAACCCAAAATTAGAATCACACTAGACGCTCTTTCCTATAACCTTCTCCTGTCCTCTGTGTACATCATGCTTGTTTTTCATTCACCATTTAAACATCATTCTATGACTGGGGCCAGCAAATTGTTTCTGTAAAGGACCAGATAGTCAATATTTTAGGCTTTGGGACCGTATAGTCTCTTACAGATCTTGGCTCTTGTAGCATAAGAGCAGCCACAGACAGTATGTGAATGAAGGTGCATGTCTGCCTGCCAATGAAACTTTTATTTTATATACAAACAGGCCCGGGGAGGGGGCTGGATTTGGCCACAGGCCACAGTTTGCAGCCTGTTTCCTCAGCTAGGTGGTCATCAGCTAATTAATCCTCTACCCTTAAGTCTTCCAAGTGGTTTCCAGTTTGGGGCTCTTCCAGGCAGAGCTGCAGTAGGGACCCCTGTGAGTGAATCTTTGGATCCTGGGTTATTTCCCTGGGAAAATCCCCCAAAGTAAGGATGCTGAGAACTTCTGATACTGATAACGATCAGTGTCTTGTCTCTGTTTCTGCTCACCTCCCAGAGCACCATGTGGGCTCAGGCCGCCCCGCACAGGTAGCCCTGGTGACGATCACTGCCCCTCCCCCTTTCGTAGGTTGGATACTGCTCTGCAAGGTGGGGCTGTGACCTGGCTCGCACCCTTAGGGCTGGGCAGGTGGGACTCATGCTGGGCTGTGAGTCCTCTGCCTTTGCTCCATCCTGACCACCTCCTCCTGCAGGCCGCGTGGCCCGGGCCGGCCGAAGTGGCACGGCCTATTCCTTGGTGGCCCCAGACGAGATCCCCTACCTGCTGGACCTGCACCTCTTCCTGGGCCGTGCCCTCACCCTCGCCCGTCCCCATGAAGAGCCCTCAGGTGAGGGGAAGCTGGGAAGGGGCTGGGGTCCCCCCTGGAGTTCATGGTGTAGAGGGGCAATGGTGGAGGTGGGCCAGACTGTCCTGGCTTTAGGACTTAACCCCTGGGGAAGATCCCTATATTTTAAAGTCAGTAAGAGGCAGTAAGTATCTTAGGGTCTGCAGGCCATGTAATCCACAGCAGCCCCTCTCCTGTGCTCTTGTACAAAATTAGCCGCACAATGCAAACATGAGTTAATAGGGCTGTGTTCCATCAAACTGTGTTTATAAAAACAGTAGGAGCTGATTTGGTTTCTTTCGTGATTCAGGACCCAGAGCGGGGCTGAGGAGGGGAGGCGGGGCCGTGGGCAGGTGGGCGGGGCCTTAAGACGTCTGACCTGGCTCCTCGCGGGGGCGGCAGGCGCGGGCGCCCTGGATGGGGTGCTGGGCCGGGTGCCGCAGAGCGTGGTGGACGACGAGGACAGCGGCCTGCGGAGCACCCTGGAGGCGTCGCTGGAGCTGCGGGGCCTGTGCCGCGTGGCCGACAACGCCCAGCAGCAGTACGTGCGCTCACGGCCAAGCGCCGTCCCCCCGAGTCCATCAAGAGGGCCAAGGAGCTGGACCTCGCGGCGCTGGGGCTGCACCCCCTCTTCAGTGAGTCCTAGCACCGGGCGGGGGGCGGCGGGCCCTGCAGAACCCACCCCCGGCCTCACGCCTCCCTCCCCACCAGGCTCCCGCTTCGAGGAGAAGGAGCTGCAGCGGCTGACACTGGTGGACCGCATCAAGCACTACCGCTCCCGGGCGGTGAGTCGGGGGTCGTGCCTGTGGGCCCACGGTGGCCCCTGTGGTGCAGGAACTCTGAGCTTCTGACCTCCAGCAGGACCCGAGCAGGGATTTTCTCAACCCGCAGCTCTGGCTGTGTCAGCTTCTCTAGAGCTGCCCCTTGCTCTGGAACCATCCCTGCTGGACCACAGCAGGTTTCCCACGTGGCAACCATTTCCTACCCCTTACAGATGGGAAGACCGAGGCTCACAGGGCAGTGATGCCCTGGCCCTGTTAGAGGCCTGAGGAGCTGGCTTTCCCTACCTTTAATCTCCTCCTGACTCCCATTGGGGGCCCCATCATGTGCCCAAAAGCAGGAAAGACCTGCCTGCCAGCATCAAGAAAAAGGAGCTGGGGCCTGTCATGATTAAGAGCAGTGGTTCTGGAGCCAGTGAACCTGGGTTGAAATCTCAGATCTGGCTTGTCCCAGCTGTGTGACCTTGGGCAAGTTACTTGCCCTCTCTGGGCCTCTCTTTGTAATTGTGAAAAGCAGGTACTGAGCAGAAAGGAATTGGGAATAACGTTCCAGAGAGCACACCAAGTGGGAAGGGGGTAGCTGGAGAGGAGGAGGCAAGGGGTAAAGGCCTTGGGTGTCCCTCCACAGACCATCTTTGAGATCAATGCCTCTAGCCGGGACCTCAGCAGCCAGGTGATGCGCGCCAAGCGGCAGAAGGACCGCAAGGCCATCGCCAGCTTCCAGCAGGGGCGGCAGGAGCGGCAGGAGCACCTGGCCGGCCCAGCCCCGAGCCTCCCGGCACCAGCACCGCAGGAGGAGCAGCTTGAGAAGGAGGAGGAGACGGTGGGAGAGAGCATAGAGGTACAGCGCCCACCCTGGGGACCTTGGAGTCTGGCCTGGCGTTAGGGAAAGGATGGGTCAAGACCCACCACCCCATGGGGCTGACCTCGGGGCTCTGAGCAGCCGCTGGGGTGGATGCGGTGATTCCAGTCCCATCTCGGATGCATGTGGAAATCAGTGACCCAGCCTCAGCCTCCCTATCTGCAGAACGGGGTCATGGTACTCGTCCACCATCCCTTGCCTGAAACCCTGGGGGCCAGATACATTGTAGGATTCAGAATCTTTACAGTGGGTAAGCTATGTTTGATATGACACCTTCAGCACGGTCTGAGGTGTCACTGCTGTCAAATGTATGAGTTTCTGCAGCGAGACATGCAGGTCCCCACAGTAAGAGGGCAGACACAGCTTCTCGTTGGCTCAGGTCGGCTTTTGCCACCACGTGAATTTCAGGAAAGTTCCTTTTCAGAATGCTGTGGACTAGGGTGGTGCAGCCAAGTGACTGCATTGCCTGGTCCTGGGCCCGCTGGGCAGATTTAGGGCAGCACGTGGAGGATTCCCATGGGCCTAGTGGTCGCTGTGGCAGTGTCATCATCACCACCTGCAGTCTCAGCCTGAAATCCTGGGCAGGTGGAAAGGGGCGGAGCGGGGACTGTTAGCACCGAGGACGTGACACAGGCAGGGTCAAGCACTGGACCTTCGTGGCATAAGGCAGGGGTGGGGGACCAGAATGTCCTGTTCACCTGGTGGGTAGAGTCCTGGGCCTTTTCATCCTCCAGTACATCCCTCTTATATCTGACTAGGATAGGGGGTTCAATAGACAAAAATGCACTTGAAAACCCCTGGACTTGTCCATGTCGTATAGAGCAAGGCCAGTCCCAGAGAGGGACAGAACCTTGCCTTGGTCACCTGGCCTGGGGGACTGAGCTGGGACTGGAACAGGGCTCTTGCCCTGGTCAGCACCCTGCCCTCCTGCACCCCCACTTGTCCTGCCCCTGCTGGTGCTTGAGGCAGAGGACTTGCTGTGTGTGCAAGAGGAAACAGAGGGTCTAAATGGCAATGCCAAGCTTTCAAAGTCCCAGAAGCCCCTGGCCCTCAACCCCAGCTGGTGGGTGGGGAGGCCAGGTCCACTGTCCAGGGGCTGCAGGTGTGACCCGGGGCCTCGGTCTCTGCCAGGACGTCTTCACAGAGGTTGTGGGCCGGAAGCGCCAGCAACCAGGACCTGTCCGGGGAGCCAAGAGGCGGAGGGAGGAGGCCCGGCAGCGGGACCAGGCGTTCTACGTCCCCTACCGGCCCAAGGACTTCGACAGCGAACGGGGGTGAGTGGCCATTGGTCCCTGGGTGGGGCGGGTGAGCTTGATCCCTCACCAACCCCATGGTGTCTCTGCACCCCTTCTCTGCAGCCTGAGCGTCAGTGGGGATGGGGGCGCCTTCGAACAGCAGGTGGCTGGTGCTGTCCTGGACCTGATGGGGGACGAAGCCCAGAACCTGACCAGGGGCCGGCAGCAGCTCAAGTGGTGAGTGAGCCAGTGGGCCTGCCCCTGCCATGCCCACCTGTCTGTCACTTAGTCATCACCACAAGCGTATGACCCCCGACTGTCCTGATTCTGGTTTGATCCCCTAGAGCAGGAATTATGACATCCCCACCCCTCATTTGATTCAGCACAGCATAAATTATGACTCCCCGGTCCTGTTCCTGTGTGGTCACACATGACAGGGATCTTGACCCCATCTGTCCTTTTGGGTGCCTAGTCTTTCTAGACCTGGCTCATGACCCTTTTGCCTATTTGGACTATCGTTCTGGAGAAGCGAAGTGGCTCAACCTAGAGTCACAGAGCCAGGTGGTGGCAAAGCAGGGATCCAGAGCCCCCAGGGTCCCCTGTCCTTGATCCAGGTCCCCTGATCCCTTCTGCCTTTTGAGACCTGGGCTGCCAGACAGATGAGGAGGGGCAGAGAACAGGCCTTTATGGAGCACCTGCTGCGTGCTGGACGTTGGTGTGCTGCGTTCCTTGAATCCTCCAACAACCCAATGAGAGGGTCGAGGGAAACAGGCCCCAACGGCAAGCGGGCCACCTCCCAACCCTGCACACCTCCCAACTCCTTCTCCTGCAGGGACCGGAAGAAGAAGCGGTTTGTGGGACAGTCGGGACAGGAGGACAAGAAGAAGATCAAGACGGAGAGTGGCCGCTATATCAGCAGCTCCTACAAGCGGGACCTGTATCCGGAAAGGCGGGGCCGTAGAGGGCGGGGCCGAGCTCTACCTTTGCACTTCCTATTGTAGGTGGAGGGCGGGGTCAGGAAGGGGCGTGGTCTAGCATCTCAACCATCCCAACTCCTATAGGTGGGGCGAAAGGGGGGTGGGGTCGAGGGATTCAACCAGCACACCCGCTATAGGAAAGGCCTGTATCTTGGGGGGGGGGTGGCCTGCTCCCAGCCAGAGGGCATCAAGATGCTGCACGCAGCCTCCTTAATGCAGCCTCCTAGCTACCAAAAGTGGAAACAGAAACAGAAAATTGATGATCGTGACTCAGAAGAGGAAGGGGCATCGGGCCGGCGCGGCCCAGAGCGAAGAGGTGGGAAGCGCGGCCGAGGGCAAGGTGAGAGCCGGGGTAGGATTGTCCTTAAAACGCAGGTTGGCAAATAGTACATTTGGTCATCTTGAGGACCTGGTCCTCTTGATCTGGCCTGGGTCCCTCAGCTGGTGACAGGCTATGGTGGGATTTGAACCTGGCTCTGCTGCCAGAGCTTGTGCTTAACCATCATGGCCTGGGCCAACTGCCATGAGTGCCAGCACCTTGGTCAGTCCCTCATGGCAGAGGGGCGCCTTGGGGGTGGTGATGATCGTGACCTTTGACATGCTTTGAGGGGAGGAGGTGAAGCCTGGCCCCATCCCACTGCTCCCCCACCCTGGGGCCGAGCACCCACTGTCAGAGCGCGGTTCCCACTTGCTGTGTGGGGACAAGTTCTGCTGGACCCTCACCATATGTGACCTGGCGGCAAGAAGCCTGAGAGTGCCCGTCTTTTCAGGCGAGGAAACGAGGGACTCCCAAGGGCAGTGACTGGTCCTGGGTCACCTGGCTGCCCGCCGCCTCCGCCCAGGGCCTCCCCTATGGAGAGGGGAGCTTGGACCATGTTCTGGGCCTCTCTCTTGGGCGGGCCTCAGCCCTGCTTACCTCCCCTAGGCCTGCAGGGCTGCTCACTGCCTCCTCAGTGTCCGAGTCTGCATCCTTCAGCCTGGGGCCTGCTCCCTGTCAGGGCCCTGGGGGCCCTCCTGTCCACCTCACCCAGGGCCTCCTTTGCTCTCTGCACCTTCCTCTCTGTCTCTGTCGGCATTCTTCTTCTCTAACGGAGATGCCTCCTCCGTTTCTGTCTCGAGCTCTCCCTCTGTTTCTGTCTTTGATTTTCTCCGATGCATTCTCTCTCATCCTGTGTGTCTCTTTCTCTCTGGGTCTGTGTTTCTTTCCATCTCTGACTCTGTGTCTCTGTCCCTTTTTCTCTCTTCATTCTCTTCGTCTTTCTCCTTGTCTCTGTCTCTCTGTATCTCTCTCTCCATCTTCTCTCCCATTGTTTCTGTTGCTTTCTCTGCACACACACATGCACGCGTTTGCACACGTTTGCATGCGTGCACGCACACACACACATACACACACACCCCTCCCAGCCTCTGTCTCTCCCTGCTCTGTCTCTGTGGATGTGCCCTTGCCTCCCTGGGGCCCTTCACCCCTCTCTCCTCAGCTCTGGATTGGGCCTGGGGTGGAGCAGGCTGCTGCTGTGGGCTCGCTGGGCCTGGCGTGGTGAGGGTGGCCTGTGAGCTTCAGGAAAAAGCAGCTCTTCTCCCCCTGTATTTTGTCCTTGCTGGGGGTGATGGGTCCTTGTCAGGTGCCCCGGGCCCAGTAAAGACATGAGGGCCGCCTTAATGATCATCTGTGTGGGAGCCATGCTAAGGTCACTGCCATGGGGGAGGAGAAGCTGGGCCTGGGGGGAGGGGAGCACAGAAGAGGAGGGGCACAGGGCTTAGTGGGGAGCCAAGGGCAGGCTGTAAAGTGCCCTCCCAGAGACCTGGGAGAGCAAGCAGGGCAAGGCCGCTGACCTCTGCCGCTTTGCTGGGTGACCTTAGACAAGTCCCTTCCCCTCTCTTGCCTTCTCTGATTTCTCTCCTGCCAAAGGAAGGTTAATCTCCAGCCTGTTTTCATCTAAAAGGCTAGAGCATGCAGTCCACAGAGACAGAGGCTGGATTCTGTCTGGGTCCCCAGTGCCCGGCATAGGGGAGGCACTCAGAAACCTTTGTTGAATGATTTGTAATTGTCATAGTTACCTGTACGAGGCCCTTACTGTGGACTCGGCCTTGTTGTGAGCACCGCACACATAGTAACTTACTTACTCCTCACTAGGACCTGTGAGGCAGGTGCTATTAATCATAATTCACAGGAGGGGAAACAGGCACAGAAAAGTAGAGAGGCTTGCCCAGGGGCCAAGAGGTCGCACTGGGATTTGAACCCCGGCAGTTTGGGCTGGAGGATCCATGCTACTGTTGACCGGACTATTTAAGCTTTACTAAGCCATTACTATGTGTCGGCTGCTGGGACCGCAGCAATGAATGCAGAATGTGAGGGGTGGGGGAGCAAGCTGGAGGCTTTTGGGAGGAGGAGACATTGGGAGTCGGCCCCAAAGGCCAAGCTCCCTGAATCCCTGTCCTGGCAGGTGTGTCCCAGCCCCGCGCCACCAGCGCCACCGGAGGCCGCGTGCGCTCAGAGCTCAAGACCAAGCAGCAGATCCTGAAGCAGCGGCGCCGAGCCCAGAAGCTGCGCTTCCTGCAGCGCGGGGGCCTCAAGCAGCTCTCTGCCCGCAACCGGCGCCGCGCCCAGGAGCTGCAGCAGGGCGCCTTCGGCCGGGGCGCCCACTCCAAGAAGGGCAAGATGCGGAAGAGGATGTAAGGAAGGTGGCCCAGCCCCGTGGTTCCTCGCTTGGTCTGAGTGTGGATGTTAGCAACGTTCCCCGTGTCCCGCCGTGTGCCTGGCCCTATGCTGAGCGCTGGGGGGGTGGGGTCCTCGTCGAGGCTTTATCGTCGTAGAGGTGTGCGCATAGGAGTTGTTTGCGCCTGCGCGTAGACACGGAGGACTTGTTGCGCGAAGTATTGTAG